GGGTAAAAAACAAGGTCCAGAGTGTGCCCCCTGGTGTGTGTGGGGCCAGAAACATGCTGGGTAAAGCTGAAGGAGTCCATAAGGCTGGAGAAATTCATGGCAAAGTGATCAGAGGGATCATCAACGTGGATGTTAAAGTCACCAACAATCACCAGTCTGGACAGCTTCACAGTGGAGGATAGAAAGTCACTAAACTCCTGAAGGAAAGAACTGTTTGGACCAGGTGGACGATAGACCACAGCACAGTAGAAAGGGTTCTTACGTCCGACTTTAATCAGCTGCAGTTCAGTTCAAAGGAAGCAAAGTGACCAGAGGTTGTAGAGCTACATGGAAGATGGTCTCTGAAAACAACAGCTATGCCTCCACCACGACCAGAACCCCAGGGCTGGCTAAAAAAAGAATAACCACTCGGGCAGAGTTCAATCAGACCAGAATAATCAGATGTTTGCTGCCAAACTTCAGTCAGAAACAGAAAATCCAGGTTTTAGAGAGAATTAGATCATTGAGCAGGAAGGACTTATTGTTAACAGAGCGGGAGTGAGGTGGAGGAATCAGAAACAGCTGGAGTTAGTGGACGTAAATTAGCGGGGTTAGATCCACGGTGTTTATAAAAACCACTTATGGAGGGAACAGGAGTAGAAGCCACTGAGGAATGAGGATAAACTGACCTTAAAAAACTTGGACGGATGAACCGCGTCCCAACGTGGCCTGGCGGGAATGCGGAAGTGGCGCTCAGGTCACCAAATAAAGGACAAGAAGCTAGAAGATCACGCCGATGTTTACTAGACAAACCACGCTTTAAGAGAAGTCTTATTCTTACCTGGATTCCTGCTCGTTTACCTCTTTTCCTCCGACGTTTTTCCGGGACCAGACAAACATAGCCGGAGGCGGGCAGCTCGGGACTGTCGTTTGGCTCCGGGCCAGTGCGCCACTCAGGTAAACAAACAAGATGGTATGTCCTTGGTGCATCTTGGGCGATTGTGAACGAACGGAAGGACAAAAGAGTCTGGCGATCATAGGAGATGGTAGCAGGGACACTACTGAAGAGGATCGCAGACAGGAGCAAGGTGGAAAAGAGGTTAGTGGAGAAAAAGTGGCCGGTGACTGCGGCTAAGCCAAGCACAGGCGCCATCTTGTTGCCGACCAATGAATGGTCTAGTTGGTGACTAAGAAGTGTTACGGCACTTTATCATAATCCCACACTTGTGCTTTTGAGCTGTTGTGAAAAAAGCAATTGACGTAGAGGACATTTAGCTGATAACTAATCTTCTCTAAAGGATCCACGAGTGTTGGCGTTGAATGGTTTGCAAAAAGAACATACCAACAAAGATTTTTCTTTTCTTCTGACTTCTTTTTTACTGTCAAGGGGAAGAAGTTTACTCTGGGCTGCTATCATTTGGCCACATCATAAAATTCTACACTAAACAATGAATGCTTCCAGTGCTTTAAAGATTAGCTTGACTCATAATTTAATACATTTGCAGTGGTCCCTTTAAGGAATTAATGCTTTGAAAGTTGTTCTCTGGGGGAAGAAAACGCCAGTGTGCCGGTGTCAGGCACTAGAAGTGAGTCAGATCATAGTTGATCTTCTGACGGCAGGATCTGGAGTCTTATTTTCTGACATATGGACATCTCGCCTCGGATCGGCCAGCATCACAACTCTACCACTGACTCCATTTGTTTTGCAACATTGATGTTTTATCTTCACAAATAACGCAAGCCTGGAGGAGTTCTGCCGTGTGGTGGGGTTTCCAATGCCAACAATTAGCTTCTGCTAGTCAGGACATTCTCTGTGGTTTCCTAGACAATAAACCAACAGCCTTCCCCGTCGTGAGTCAAGATGGATGTCTTCATGAATGTTAAGTGACGGTGTGACATAGATCTGTTGGATTTTCTAAATGTAGAGTTTCACCGTCTATTTCCTATCAGATACTAGTGCAGGAGATAGGTGTAGGAGACTATTGTCATGTTCAGCCTGAGCGATTATAATCAGGATTATAAATTAAAAAATAGGTTTGACTGTGAAGTTGACCGTTAAATGATAAGAAATAAGTGCCAGTATGCAACTCAATGTGCATCTTTGGTAATGGGGCGGTGATGTTGGAGAAATTTTAAAAAAAAAAGTGTCTTTCCGATTTCCATGGGGGCAGCGCAGGGCTGAGCAACAGTGTGATATGTTGCCTGATGAATGGCCAGAAAAAGTCCCAGTATGTGTGGTATGCTAGAATAAAGTGTCAGTACACTGAGAAGTTACATTTTCAAGTGCATACCGGTCCATACTGGCTCACTTAAAGCTCATTAAATTTAAAATGTCTTGGTCTTAAACAGATTGTAGGGAAAAGTAAGGCATTTATCTAATTGTTTTCATGTTTGTGTTCAGTGTTGTGTTCTTTTGAGAGTTTTAACTAACTCAATAAGGTCATCAGAAAAAATTAATTAGTACAATATCAGGTCATTGTAACAGGATGTAGGATGCCTTTATTCCCCCTGTCTTGTTAGTAAGAAACAAGCTAACAAATCTTTTGCGATTTGTCATTTGTTGCAGTTGCAGCTTTGCAGAAAATTCCATATAAACAGTGATATTTAATAGAACTTTTTTTTGTTAAAATTCTGTACAATAATTCAGTTTCCTTGATTTTTACTTAAATGTGCTTGGTCAAATATTCTTGAGCAGTGAGCCTTGTTGAGATTTGTGACAAGTTATCCTTTCAAAAAATGTGTCTGAGTTTGTTGTCAAGTGGTTTTGGGGTTGGTGTTCTGATCAAAAGGCTCTCTTTGTGTAAAAAGTTTAGTTGAGCAACATATTGAACCTTGAGCTGCCTCGGTAGTTGTTACTTTAACCTTGCATGCCAGCTGTGCTGCCACCAGTGTGTAAATGTGTATCAATGAATGAATTAAAAACAAATGGTAAAGCACTTCGTAGAAGCTTGCTAGGGGTAAACATAAGTGCTGACCGTGAAACTGAGTTGTGTTTGACAACTCAGGGACGTCTCTTTTGCATCTCACAATACACTGTCAAAGCAATCAATATTTTTCCACTCAGTACGCTAACTGTACAAGCTGAAATTCTAGGGAGGATTCTGAAGGTTTATGCAGCAAACAGTAAAAACTATTGACGGTCTGTGCTCACTAACACTGTTACTTTGCTGTAAGTCAGCTAGGTACAGCTGAGTGAGAAAGGGGTGCGGTCCACCAAGGCACAAGCATCTGGCTGCAGACAGCAGATGGCGTCTTCTTTGCCGTCACCGGAAATGACGTAACCGGAAAAACAAGACATCGGGTCATTACCTTCGCCTGAAGTCATTACCTTTGCAGGAAGTAGTTTGGATTTGATGAGAAAAACCATACCATGTTGTTTTCCTCTTAGATATGTATATAAACATATATGTAATGTTGGATAAATAGTATGTTTGGTTAAGTTAATTGCTTTAAGAGCTATTTATATTATTAACACCACTTGAGACCAATAAGCTGTAATACTCTATTTAAATATAGAATATCACCTTGCCTGGTCTTTATTTGTTTTAGTCAGAAGATTCTAGGATTCTTTTCTTCATTAAGGGAATTGTACTCACTTCGTTTGATTCAAGAAACAGTCAGGTTTATAAAACTTAAGAATTTATTTTACAAACAATTAAGACTTGACAAAATGTTTAAACTATTATTTAATGTGAGTGGATGTGAACTAAAGGATGGTGTCTGGAACTTATGTGTGAATTGAATTGAATTGTCCTCACTTGAAAGTTCTTCTGGTGACACCAGGGGCGGCGTTAGGCCCGGCTACTTGGGCTCAAGCCCCGAATGTTTAATGAAAAGCCCCGGATCTAAATCGTGGAAGTAGCATGCAGTACCAAAGTCCAACAGAGAGGGAGCAGCTGGCAGTAGTTTGTATACAGCCTGCCTGAGCCTCCACCACTGAAGAAGAAGCCCTTCGGCAGCCGGCTTCTTCTACACTCTCTGCCTGAAATGCATGAGTGAAGATGGACATAAGGACGTTTTTTAGACCAAAAGTACCATGACTGAACCCCAGTTTTGATGAGACTGGTGCTGACTCAGGTTTGTGAGTCTTATTTGAAAATATTTGTTGTGCTGCTGGTTTGCTTTAAATGATAATGATAAATGACCCGCACTTGTATAACGCCTCTCAGAGTAAGGACTCCAAAGCGCTTTACACTGTAGCGTATCATTCATCCAGTCACACATACATTCACACACTGATGGTGATGAGCTATGATGTAGCCACAGCTGCCCTGGGGCGAATTGACAGAGGCGAGGCTGCCGAGCACAGGCGCCACCGGTCCCTCCAACCACCACCAGCAGGCAAGGTGGGTTAAGTGTCTTGCCCAAGGACACAACAGCAGAAATCTCTATCAGGAGCCGGGATCGAACCTACAACCTTCCGATTACTGGACATCCCGCTCAACCTGTTCAGCTACTGCTGCCTAAAGTTAGCTTACTATCAGGTAAAGTTGTTGGAGAAAGAAAGGGAATATTTACTATCATCTCACACTAAACACTAACAGGAACAATACTCTGCCCTGAATATGCTTAATATGTAGTTTCAGATTAAAAATTATGTGGTACAAGACATATATATATGATGTTGACTAGTGCGTGTCACGTGTGTGAGTGTGTTAAGCCCTGGATCTTCTTCAGTCCTAAATCCGCCCCTGGGTGACACGCCGGCTGATGTCTGCTGCCAGGTCCTACTCCACCAAGGAGGTTTTGTTAGCTAGCTAACATGTACATAGTGATAGCTAATGACATCTTCCTCTACAGGCAATTTAGTCACTGCCCAATGCAACCTGCATGCTTTTAGTGTTGTGAGAGAAGACCTAAGGCCCAGAAAACACACTGGTCAGCAAGTTCAACCCACACACGTTTTGTTTCTTTCTTTAAGGCAGAGGCTTTCCTCACTCAAAGACCTTGCTTTGATTGGAAATTCACTATTTTCTCAGACATTAAAATGACTACAGCAATGGCTTCTTCTTTTGACTCACATGGCCGTGAAGGAGAGCTGGTCCTTGGTGAGGTTGAGGGGGTGGTTCGAGACGGAGATGCCATGCTGGCGTGGGCTTTGACCCGCGGGCAGATTTCCTCTCAAGATACCATTGTTGGCCACACTCAGGAAGGACACCATGCTGTGCCATGCTTGGTTGTAAAACCACACCTGTAATGGATGAAACAAACACTGTCAAAGTGGACCAAAACTTGTAGAAACTCTGATTAATGTTGTTTTAGTAAAAATACTGTTCAATTTTTTTCATAGAAGGATACATTTACCAAGACATTTTTATTCTTGACTGAACATGCATTGCTGGATTAAGATTCACATCATCCACACACCTTGTTGGCACTTTTTGAAAGAATATTAATGGAAAAAGAAGCAATCTAAACCCAAGTCTGCTCCCAGTGACGAGCCGGCTCCCGTCGTACACTTCATAGAGCCGGCTCTTAAGAGTCGGTTCGTTCGCGACCGACACATCACTACTGCACAAGTTATTCAACCACTGAATCAAATGTGTTGCACCAGAGAAACTAGTAAAGTGTGCTGGATACCAGCCATCGAGGTCCGGAATTGAAGAGCCCTGGCCTAGGGTGAACTCTGCCTGTTTACCAACCCCTTGCAACTCTGCAAGGACTATCAGGTATTGACAATGGATGGATGGATGGATGGATGGATGGATGTTGGTGGTGAAGCACCAGGAAGACTTAAAGCTGCAAAAAGCCCAAAGCCATTAACATTTCTATTTCTCTATTTTACGGCCATTGGAAGCCAAGTCAAATAGTTGACACAATGAGTATGTTTCTCTAGTGTTAAAAAAAATATTGGTACAGTTTAATGGTACTCATCCACATCTCTATCTTTACATCTGTTTATAATCTGTTTAGGGGTCAATTTATCTTTAAAGATTCATGGAAGAAACATGCATATTAAAAAAGGCAAATGAGATGAAAAACCTTCTTTTGATAAATTTGGTATCACTGCTTGTCACGTTTGCAAATTCCCAATGTGACATAGCATGCAAGCTGCAGGCACAGAAATATTTTTAACACATTCTTTTATGGAAGTGATTTTCCGAGTTTGTGGTTGCTGGGGTGCAGAAGAAACAGACTAGATGAAAGAAAGTGGGTGTAAAAGAGGACTCCCCGCTGGTGCTGCAGCGATAATTAAGAGTGGATGGTGTCTGAGTGCCAGCCTAACATAACACTGCATCACAAAAGAGCATGTGGAGGAATTAAAGTACACACATCCGCACACACACATGCACAAATGTGTGTCTTTGTTTGAACCTTTCTATCTGTTGCTTTCTCATGGAAGGGAAAATGTATTTTAGTTTCTAACCTTTGAGAAAGTTCAATCTGATGAACTCAAAACACCAAACAAGTGAGAGTAAGCGTGTCCACTAAAAACGTACAAGTAAAAAGAGATTTTCCAGTCTTAAAGGAGACATTTGTAAGAATTCTACAGTGAAATAATAACAAAACAATCTAAAGTGTCATCATGTTGGAAGGAAGGTCACATTGAAACAGATTTTCTTCTCAGCTGGCTGGGGGTTGTCAGTTTGCACCAAGCTAATGCCACAATGACAAATCATAATTTGACACCACCAGGCAAAAAGCTCCAGAGGTGTTTAAAGAGCAAGTCACCCCCTATACCAGAGTCTTACACCACTCCCACTTCCTGTTTGAATAATGCCACAAATGCTGTTGCCTGGCAGACCGAGAGGGTGGAGCCACTAACAAATACACACACATTCAGGCTCAACGGCATTGTGACATACTATGGTACCAGCTGATGTCATAGGGTACCTCTTAGTCAATAGCAATGGCAGATTTAAATTAAAATACAGTGCAGTTTTTAACCGAAGATGGCGCAACACTGACAGTTTTGGGTTGAAATTTTTAATTTTAACGAAGACTCACTAAAGTGCCAAATTATTGACTGCACGTGTCTACAGCACCACTAGACACTCATTTATATAGATTATCAGCAAAAAAAGTTGATTTGGGGGTGACTTGCTCTTTACAGAACCAAAGCCAGTGAACAGGAGCGACCCATTTCTCATGCCCCTAATGAGCCACAGCATCTTTTTGTTTTATTCTAATATCGGGTGAAGCAGGCTAGAAGCAAGCTAACATGAAGAGGGCAAACAACCATACTTCCTCTAATGCTGGAGAAATATTACCGTAATAGGTGTAGTAAGTATTTCGCTTAAATTGTCTGTAGTAACCACATTTGACCACAGGATGTCGTTTTCACTTCATTCTTACATATTGCACCTTAAATGCACATTAAATTAGAATAGGTTTTTTTAAAGAAAAGAAAAAAAGCTAGATGTTTGCAGGAGGCATCAACTTCAGTTCCTTTCAAACGATTACACCAAATGTTTTAATTTTCTACAGCCACAGCCTACTGAATGTAGTCGACCTAACCAACACTAACTTAGCCATATTTGTCAAAGAGTAGTCTCATTTTAACCAATCTAACCAAAAACCCTATACAAAATTTAACCTGGACTACATAACTTTGCATAGCCTAATCTATTCTATCTTAATTATTATATCTTAAACAAACTTAGTCTGGCATATAAAGTAATTTTGGCAAGCCTAACTTGGCCTGTCATTATCAAACCCAGGCTAATCTAATCCAACCTAATTAAGTCAAATCTAATTTTACATAGTAATTTTGCCCAACCTAATTTAATCCGACTTAAAGCACATTGCCAAACCAAAGATAGTATGGCCATTGCTTCGTCTAATTTAGCAAAACAAATCTGTTAACCAAATCTAGCATAGTCGTCTGTAGCCTAATTTGCCAAGCATAACCAAGCCTAACTCAGTCTTTCTCAAAAGAATCTAGCCTAACTTAATGTCTCCTAGCCTAGCCTAGCCCAGTCCAGCCTTATAGACACCACAAAAGAAATAAAAGTTGAAGGTATTTTGAATCATGACAAGTTTGATGTTAGCTTTTAAGTGCATTAAACCAGAAAAGTTTTCACATAATTTAAGATATTTTTAGTTCCACCTGAACACCTTCAACCTTCTATGCAAATATGCATATTTCACTTGTAGTCTAAATGTGCAAACATACTAATTAAAAAGTTATACAGTAGCCTCCCAATTCACGGCCAGGTACTTTGCATACAACGATGAGCAGAAAGGTTGTACATTTGTGCTTCGCTGGCTCCATGCCCCATTTTTCTTTTAATCACCACAGCTTCTCCCCCAAATTCCAAACTAATCTCACCTCTTCTACCCCGAATGCTTTCATCCCATTCAATTTGATGAAATGCTTTCAGACAATTAATACAATACCTTGACATTGTCCCTGTTTCCCAGCTTCTTCAGCAACGTCTCGGCCCTCTGGAACGCCTGATCGGTAACGTTATCCTAATAAAGATGAGGGGAAAACAAGAGAGGAAGGAGGGGGAAAAAACAATCCTGAGTTGAAGACTTAATTGGATACCCTTGGAAAACCACCACTGCTCTTTGAAATGCAAAGCATGAAGCTGAGGGAGACAAGAATTAAGACTTCTGGAGAGCATTTGGGAGTGCTGAGCCACTTATTTTTCACAGACTTGAGGGGAGAAAAAAATTGTCCTCAATTTCTTTGGCTGCTTTTTTCTTTTCTGACTTTTCTGTTTTATTCAACAGTAAGAAATAATTAAATGCATGAGGAGTGAGATTTTACAGTAATTATCTAAGTACCCAAAGTACAAATCAGATATACAGCAAGTAAGGCAGATGGATGGATGTGTTAATGTCAGAAACGAAACAGTAAAGAAAATATTTCTGCTTTTTCTTTCGCTGTGAAATGAATTGATGCAAATTGTGTCGAGACGTTAGACCGGACAGGTTGCATTAAAAGCCGCTCCTCTCTGCTCGTGCGTCATGTGAAATGAGCCTTGAGGTGAGGGCTTGAGATGACAGGCATGCGATTTCCAAAGTGGCATGTTGAGACCACGCTGCTCAGCCCAGCTGTAAGAGTGCTGAGGACATTACATGTGTGATATAAATGCAAATGGACCTCCTGTTGGACTCGTCGGAAGCAGAGTATGGAAGTGGAAAAGGCGGAATGGGGGGGGGGGGGGGGGGGGTAATGTGCTGGTGACTGGTGAGAGAGCTGGGAGGTGGGAAAAATAAGAGAGAAATCAGGAGAGACATCCCAAGAATGCAGGAGTGAGCTCAGGTGCAAATTTCTGTCTGCGCTGACACACGGAGAATCGAATAGATGACAAAAAGACATTTCCAGCCCTTCAGACAGTTACAAGGAACTTATTTTTTCCCTACCCCACAATCCTACACCCATTCAAACCCATAATGCCCTGTGACATTCTCAAAAAGGTAACATTTTGAGTATTCAGAGCACTTTTTTGACCTTCGTTTCGATTCAGTCGGCTTGCAAGGCTTAAGAAAATGTTTACGCATGGTTTCAGTAACACAACATGAACTCCTCATCTCCTTCCACACCACAGTGTTGGAAGAAGGATAAAGGAAGAGTTCCAAAAAATCTGCACTGAGAATTATTTGTGCAGAATAACATTCTCACTGTTCCAAGAGAGGCCATTCAGACACGAGGCCCGTGACGCACCCCTTAGCAACAAAACAAGGGAATCTTTATTGTGTTTAGCGTTTTCACTTCACTCCAATTTGAATCATGCCAAGCAGGGAAAAGGCAGCCTTCCTGAGGATTAGCGGTGGCTGAGACGAGATGAGAAGTGGGCCAGCGGCTGTCTAATCCCCTAACAAACTCCTTCCGGCTCAAGAACAATGGCAGGGTTGGACCCCGTCGGGACCAGGGTTCAAGACACGGGCCTTCGAGTGTGTGGTGTCTCATTTTGGTTTGTATTCCAGAGTGGCCTGCAGAGTCCATAGGTCAAATGAGTGTTAGCATGTGTCTGAGAATATGGGGGGTAGTATCAAATGGATACCAGCACTAAACCGTCACAAGAGCTTCCTAAGGACAAGCTCTCTTTTCTTTCCAAAGCTTTGGTTGTAGCAACAAAACACCAGCTCTGTCTCAGAATCCACTCTTTACTGGGCCGGTGGACACAAATATAGGAAGAACTCATATATAATATAGTGTAATCCTGCTTGAAATTGTTGTTTAACACGTATCAGAAAGATATAATACTTTTTCTTTTAGAAACACAATCAGCCACAATGAATTTCACATGCATGACGAACGTGAACATTGGTCTTTTCTTAATATGCGTACTTGTCTGTACTTGTATACTCACATCCTTGTGAAACGTCATCAACGTCGGCCCAAGTACTGATACAGTCCTAAGTACGCATCATGGCAAGTTTGCTCATAGTGCCTGGATGTGCTCCGCCCCTTGTATCGAGGATGCATTGATGCATCCTTCTGCAATGTATCCCATAATGCATTGTGTCACAAATCATTAAACCCTGAACATCAGAGAAGAAAGCCCATAACTGTAATGTATTATAACTGTTTTATATTAGAAATACATATAAAGTGATAGAAATGTGTCTGTTATTGTAAATAATTGTGTTTAACCTGTAAAATCTGCTGTGTGTGTTTGAGTTTTACTCTTCGCGGTCTCTTAAATGCGAATTAGCTAACCCACTATCAAAAATAAAAGCAGCAGAGCTCTGTTGTAATGGTCAATAAACTTTATTCAATAGCAGGAAATGTTGGTATTTTATCAGGTTTCATTAAATGTAGACCAAATATACCTTACTGACCAGAATACAGGACGACCCGATTATAAGATGACCCCCCCCCCCCCCCCCGCCCCTTCCAAGACTAATCTTCAGGAAAAGACAAAAAAAAATCACTTTTTAAAATAAACTATTTTATTTTAAATTTGAGTGCAAATATTGAGCAAAAATACTGTTTAATGCAAACTATCAGAACTTTCCTGACATGTGAAATCAAAGTCAAATGAGGCTTTTAATCAGACGCCCTCTGCCTCGCTGTACTCACTCATGCTGCTGCGGGGTGTACCATCAGATCGCTAAACCTGTTGGCTCCTCCCACTGAACGTCATCCTCACTGCCATCCAATACATCCATGCATGCAATGTTTGACACCTCTGCTGAAGTGACCACCGTCATCTTAAAATTTGCCCAACACTGCCATACTATGTTAACTTCCCCCACTTTCGGTCCACTCTGCTCCAGACCAATGGCGCCCCCAAGGGGTGGCCAGAAAATTGCTGCCCCTCCCAGTAAAAGCCAGTGGTAATAAATCATGTTAATGTTCAGTTAAACTATAAATTGATCTTGCTTATTCAAGAAATAATTTTAAAAGAAAAGAATAATAATACCATTAATGAGTAAAGAAATAATCAGAATAAAAACAATACATGTGTTTCTGCTGCTCACCATTTAAAAAAAGTTTTTTTTGTGAACACAGCAACAGGTGAATTAAACAAAAAAATTTAAAGACATTTTTTAAATAACATTTTAAATAACTGATATGTACTTTTATGAAATATTTGCGTTTATAAAATTTAAGTTAAATGTTTTGGATATATACTGTTTTTTTTTTTTAAATAAAAACGAATAAAAAAGCAATGCAACACATCGTCACAGGCTAAACTCTCCCAGAGTTACCACAAGGACCAATTTGGTGAGCCACCTCAAAAATATCTCTGGCCCCGTCTGGCCATCTCTATCAAAATTTTCTGGAGGCACCCCTGCTCCAGACCTCCCGTCTCCATTTTTGTGTTGCGAACACACAGCCGGGCACCCTCTGCTGTGACGGGTGTGTAATGACCCCAGACAAATACCAGCACGTGTAAATGCTTAGACCCCGATTATGAGACGACCCTACATTTGGAAATTATTTTCAATGAAAAACACCTCTTCCTATATTCAGGCCAATATGGTAATAAAAATAATATGTATCTAGGGCTGCAGCTATTGAATATTTTAGCATTCGAATATTCTATCGTATTCTCCATCGAATAATCGAATCTTCTATTTGACGACGGTTCAAGTGAAATGAGATTTTGGTCTAAAAATAAAACAACTAAGTTATAAAAGGCTCAGTCATATGTATTAAATTGGTGTTGTCTAGTTCCCTCTTTCCTAGCTAACCATTAGTATTAGTAACTCGACAACGTAGCCAAACACATACAGGTTTGATTTTTTATGGAGATAATGTATCAATGTTGCATTTTTACTCAACAAAGAAGGGCAAACAGATGTAGCAGACAATTTGTGTTGCTGTTAGCCAATCAGACGAGAGTCAAAGCATATCATGAATATTAATGAGTAAAATCCTGCTATTTTCCTCCCCCTACTCCTCCAGCTAGATTCTATTCCCTGAAAGAGAAATGATTTCAATTTTAACAAAAGATTGGTTAAACTTTGTGGCTCTTTACAAATTATAAATCAAACATGTGTTTACATGTGTTTCCATGTGTTTACATGTGTTTCCAGGTCATTCCAGGTCATTTCCAGGTCATTCAGTTTAAGGCAGTAAACTAGGAGACTGTATACTAATTTAGATATACGTGAAAAAACCCAATTACTGAATAAAGTTCCTTATACTTCGCTACAGTAGGTGGTGAAATGATCCCTTTGAGTTGGTATTCTTCTGGTTAGCTTATAGCAACACAGATTGTAAACAAACGCTGGCGGGAGCGCAGCAGACACTGTTAAAACAGGATATGCACGATGGCTGAAGAACAATACTGCAGCACAGCTTATTTGGTACATACTGTACTGTTTGATGGTGTTACACGTCAGAAGAACTCTTCCACGGTCTTGTCACTTCTGAAAGTTGACTGATCCATTTACATGCAGAGGAGGTCGGTTTCTAACTGTATTATCTGCGTACTTCCGCTCGATTAGAATCAGTCTGACTTTAGCCAGACTAACAGGTTTACATGCATTAAAAAAATGATTTCAATCGGTTCAGTAGTTTGGTTTATTGACGTAAACGCACTGAGTCATTACAGTCCATTCAGTTTTAAAGGTCATAGACCCATGATGTAGTTCAACGTTCTCCCTACGCTGTAACCATTAGATAACAATGGACGGAGGGTCAAATATTTACTGAAAAAGACATTCTGAGTGATGTGATGACGTGAGTTCGAGTCGGCTCTCTGGCTGAGAAAAACCAAACCAGTTCCTGCACTGGAACCTCTGTAGGAGAAACACCCAATAGGAGGACATGCCAGGAAGATGTTGAAATTGATCAAATTATAGAAATCTAATGAAACAATGTGCGTAAAGGGGTCACAGATGCATTTCAGAGAAAAATCTGACACTGACATGGAGCACATTTGTGTGCCTTTTAAAGCCTAATTATATCATTTTCAGCACTTAGGCTTTCTGCTCCTTGCCATCCCCGTCGCCTCTTATTGCCGCACGTAACTCCATTTCTACCTGCTAGACACAGAAAATGCAAT